TGCACACATTTGTTGATCCCATCAAAGAAGTCTAAGAGTATGTCTACACTTACACTCTAGTTCAAACTAGGGATGCAAATGCAGGCATTCGAAATAGTCTATGAAGTGGGGATTTAAATATCACGTGCTTCATTAGCATGATCTCGCCGGCGTGTTACTCTGAAGGCCAGCTGTTTCGAAAGTAAAAGTGCACACTGGGATGCATTAGTTCAAACCAAACCCCTTGATTCAAACTAATGGTACACCTCAAAAAATGAGGAGTAACGTTAGTTTGAACCAAGGGGTTTGGTTAGAACTAATGCATCCCAGTGTGCACTTTTACTTTCGAAACAGCTGGCCTTCAGAGTAACACGCCGGCGAGATCATGCTAATGAAGCTCTGGATATTTAAATCCCTGCTTCATTGATAATGTCGATTAAACTAGGGTGTAAGTGTAGACATACCCTAATAGATTGGTGAAGCTTGATTTTGCTTTACTAAAGTCATGTTGAGTCTTTCCCCCAATATTATGTTCACCTACGTGTCTGATAATGCTGTTATTTACTATAGTTTCAACAAGTTGGCCAGGCACTAAAAGCCCCAGGAATGTACATAGTTGGTCCACAGGTTCAACAAAGAGCTCTGGAAACAACAAAGCACGGCCTGAATAAACAGTCAGGGCCTTTGCTGTGCCTTTATGGTTAGTAGTGCTCTATTTTGAAGTTTGGTACAATGTAGACAGTGCCAAATTTCAAAATAGGCTATCTCAAAATAAGCTATGTAATTTGCATAGCTTATTTCAAGCCACACATGACTGTGTAGACATACCCTCAGTGTGGCAGTTAGGCAGTTTATCATCACAACAAGTGTGACGGCTGAAACCAGAGTCTGAGGCCACACCAACCACTGGAGTCAGAGTCATATCAACAGTCAAGCTACAGTCAATAACTGGAGTTTGAAGCAGGAAGCAGGAACAACAAATGAGATAAATTGAGAAGAATAAGGAGGGGGAACCAGGCAAGGAGCAGCAGCTGAGTCTCAGAGGCTATGTCTAGACTACATTCCGCTTTTGAAAAAGATATAAATTAGACCGATTGAAATTGCAAATGAAGCTGGGATTTTAATTTCCCGTGCTTCATTTGCATAATGGCAGCCACGCATTCTTTCGAAAACGGGTATTTCGAAAGTGAAACCGCCATTTAGACGCAGTTCTTTCTAAAAAAAATCCCTGTTTCGAAAGATCCTTTACTCCTCAAAATATGAGGCTTACAGGATCTTTTGAAAAAGGGTTGTTGTTTTTTTTTCAAAAGAACTGCCTCTAGATGCTGGTTTCACTTTCAAAATACCCGTTTTTGAAAGAATGCATGGCTTCCATTATGCAAATGAAACATGGGAAATTCAAATCCCGACTTCATTTACAATTTCGATCAGTCTAATTTACATCCCTCTTTCGAAAGAGGGATGTAGTCTAGACATGCCCACAGTCTGGTCAGAAGCCAGCTTAGTGTTGCTCAGAAAAGGTTATGGCAGGAACAGGAAATGATAAGAAAAAGGGTCCAATCAACAGTCTGTGGCAAATCAGCTGATCCCTCTGAGTCAGTGTGGATCCAGTGTGGATGTCAGCTGCAACTTCCTTGTCAGGCCACCCAGCACACTGGCACAGATCATAAGGCTCTTACTCAAGACCCACAGCTCCTGACACTCTGAAGAGCTCCCACAGTTCTTGGTTTGAAGTCTCTAAACTTGGAAAATCGGTTGGCTGGCATATAACTTGCAGGGCCTTTTGACTGCTGTTATTGAGCATGCTGCCTCAATGAGAGATTCACTATCAGGTGCCGTGTTTGATTCTCCCTCCCCAATAATTTTAAAATCAGGAATGGAGGCTTTTCTAAAAGATCTGCACTAGGAATTATTTTGGGGGAGGTCTGTGGCCTGTTTTGGACAGGAAGTCAGACTAGACGTCACAGTGGTCCCAACTGGCTCTGTGATCTGTGAATTTTGGGGGAAATAACCTTTCCAGTTTCTGCTCTGCAGCAAACTCTGATTAATTATTTGGGATCCTACACTCCATGCAGGAATTTGATGGGAAGTTCCATGAATCCCATCTGGAAGGAAACAGCCAAGCGTGTTTCAATCTTCATAAAGGATACACAGCTAAAGCCCTCAAACATGTGTTCTTCAGAGGTGAACTGAAATGATGCAGTGTTTGGCAATACATCACCCAGCTAATCCTGGAGATAGGACATTTCATCACCATGGAAACTGTGTGCTTCAATCTTGTAAAGAATTTTACTAATGAGCATTAAAGCCAAACCCTTCTCCTACCTTGAAGGGAATGGAAGGCATCTCTAGGTGCTGCATGGGATAAGGCCAGGAGACTGTATAGGAAGTCTGAGTCCTCTATGTGTTACAGAATACAATTCCATGATGGTACCCAATGCAGGGTTGCACAGTTGCTCTGCTTGAGGAAGGCAGGCAGGCCACAGAGCAGATACACCAATCCTCCATCCTGTAGTGGCATGGCACACACACTGAAGATTCACCTTAGATTGGGAAAAGGCTGCAAAGTAGATACGCTGTAGCTCTGCTGTCTCCTCTTCTTCCATTGTGTCAATACAGATTGACAGCTCCTAGCTGAGTCTTTTGATATGGGATGGAAGGTGGGGTGAGCAATGGAGATCATTTGGGATTTCAGCTGGAAAAAGCTTTAGTGACATTAAACCATCTTCAGCACCCCTGTGTTGTGCGTGACTGATACTCTGCCTACTTTACTGATGGTAAAACAGAAGTAGTGTCCTATAGACAGAAGGTTGGGAATAAGGCGCTCCAGGTTCAATCCCTGATTCTGCTATAGACTCTCTGTTTGATCTTGGGCAAGTTTCTTATCCTCTCTGTAACTCAGTTGACTATCCATAAAATGGGGATAATGATACTTCCTTTTCCTTGTATTTTTTCTTGTCTGATTAGGGTTTGTTTGCACTTAAAATGCTACAGCCCTACAGTTGCGCTGCTGCTGCTGCACCAATGTAGCAGTTCAGTGTAGACATAAGCTGTAAGCTCTGGGGGACAGACCCATAGTCTTCTATAGACAACCATCTAACCTCAAAAAGACTCTTAACAATAATCACAGGACATACCACTTTAATACCAACCCTGGAACTTTCCCTTGCAACAAACCCCATTGGCAACTTTGTCCACATATTTACTCTGGTGACACTATCACTGGACCTAACCATATCAGTTATATGATCAACACGTATTCCTGTTCATCCAGAAATATAATTTATGCCAACAGTGTCCTTCAGCTAAGTATATTGGACAGACTTCTCAGACACTTCGCCAAAGAATTAATGCCCACAAATCAGACATCAGACATCTTCACAAAGGAAAAACCAGTTTCTTTTCATTTCAGCCTACCTGGACATAGTCTTAATGACCTTACTACATGCATCTTACTTCAAAGAGACTTTAACACCAGATTACACCAGGAAACTTCAGAACTTTCATTCATGCTTAAATTTGACACTTTACGAATGGGCCTTAACAACGATGCTAATACCTTATCCATTACAAAGATAGCTTCCCCACTTATCACTCCTGATTAGACATTCATTTACTCATAAATAGCTGATCCCTCCCTCCCTCCAACTTCTGTACTAAATCTGATTTGTCAGTTTAATAAAGTGTTCACTTTTTTCATTGTGATATACTTTGGTATATATGGTCATACCAGTTCTCTTCCAGAAGATGATGGGTCTGGCCCACGAAAGCTCATCACCTATTATACCATCTTGTTAGTCTTTAAAGTGCTACACAGTTTTTCCTTTTGTTTTAGCAAGATCAGAGTAACATGGCTACCTCTCTATTACTGTAGGACCGACTGTAAAACTTCTTTGAGCCAGCAGAGAGAGTCAGAGTGAGGCTAAGAGTTCTGGTCTCTTGGTTCATCATCACTAGGGCTTTTCTACACAGAAAAGTTTAAAGTGCAGCCACAGAAACCTTAAAACTGAAAGTGTGGCCATGGTACGAGCCCTGGGAGAAACCTCTCCCAGTGCCCTGTGGAAATGATCACCACGAGGGGAGATGCTAAGAGTACTAGGCACTTAGCTCCCAGTGCTGTAGTCTGGTTCACACCGATGCTTTATAGCACTGTAAATTGCTGTGCTGAGGGGAAGGGGTGGTTTTTTACATCCCTGACCTAGAAAGTTGCAGTGCTGTAAAGTACCAGTATAGACTTAGACGAAATCTCTATGCAGAATCAACATACATCTTAAAAACAAATAGTGCTTTTGGCCTAGAAAGCAGAGTTAATATAAAACTATATCATTCTACTGGCAATAATTCACTCCATACCTCCATGAAGTTTACAAGGAACCTAGCATGTAAACATAGAGACAGCCAATGTCAATTCTTTTGAAGAAATGTTTATTTAACAATTGAATACATGCTAAAAGAAATAATTTACAGCAGCAGTTTCATTACATTTTTCTCTCCAGTTTTCTATTTCCCATCTGAATTGCAGTGATAAATACGGAAGTAGAATTATTTACTACCCAGTGAGGAATGTGCTTACAAAATGGCACATAACTTTGGCACCGAAATAGCAAATAAACCACCCTATAAACTGTGTGACAAAACCTTGCATTTTAGTCTTGTGTTGAACACACTGAAATGGAGTACCTCTAGATAGCAGTACTTTATACTGTACCTCCTTACCCTAGTCAAAAATATTTACATCCCTTTTGGCTAATGTGTAGGTAGCAAAAAACTGAACTATTAAACACATACCATTGATATTCACTAAATAATACATAAAAAAGGATCCGTAAATGCGCATTCACATGCATTTTAATTTTTTTTACATAGTGACTTCATTTGGGCCATCAAAAGTTAACTCTGTTCTGCAAAGATGCAGTTTCTTAGCTTGATACTGTAGTTTAGCATAACCATACAGTCATTATGAGCTATTGACCAATTCCCGTCTTCATCAGTCCATGCAAACCCCAAGGGTAGTGTAGTAGAAAGATATCAACGTTTTTTCTTGCTAATTTATATCTTTAAATAAAATTTCTATAATGTTTCCTGGTTATAAACAAAATCATTTATTTCTCTTTACCTTAAATATAACCTTCTACTTGGTTCATCTAAAACTTGGAACTAGAGGCTTAGAGGTTTTTGATGGTGAGTTAAAGTGACGGTTTCCTTTTATTTGTAACATTGTGACATATTAAGAAAAAATACAAACAGGATGTGTGAACTATACCAAAATTCTACGTCACCCTTCCATGCACAAATTTATCACAGTCTATGGTCTTTGAAATCAGTTCATTTCAAACAATATCAGATGCTGTTGTAACTCAGACAGATTCTTGTCTGAGTGCACTCTGGTTAAAATCAACCTGAAAATCAACTGTTTCCTCTTTCAGTCTGATCCTTTCAGCCTTTGCTTATGTGAGTAGATGCACAGACCTCAGCGGGAGGTGTAAACTATACACCCATCTGCAGAGGCTGCTTCTTTCCTTTAAATATTTATCATATGGCAAAATCTCCTGGCTGCTATAATTTTGCTCTTACAGAATGAATAAACTTTTACAGAGTATTTCTTTTTCTGTGAAGGAATGCCAGTTTTCAAAAGTAATCTCTAATTAATCTGCTTTTCAATGGGTCTCTATAAAAGGGAAGATAGCCAAGGGGAAATTAATAGAGGACAGTCACTATTAAATCTACAAAGCAGGAAATTAGATAATTGAGGGCCCAATAAAATCAGAGTATTTCCTCTGGGTTCAATGGGCTTTGGAAGTCCTCTTTGTTAAAGGGGGAAACTTTTAACATTATTTTAATGGATTTGGGATACAAAGTAGCTTTAATAGACTGAACAATGATCCATAAGTACAACAAAGTACTTCTTCAGCTGATAGGCAGCAATGAATTTCAAACACTTGAGCTGAGAAATTAATGCTCATGTAGGGTGCTGATACAAGAGAGTTTGTTAACACTTGCTTAAAGATGTGCTTACATTCATCATACATAGATGCTGGAACTAGTAGTGGGGGCTGGTGGCACTGCAGCACCCCCTGGCTTGAAGCGGTTTCCATTATATAAAAAGTTTGCAGTTTGGTTCAATCACACACAGTTCCCCAGTATACAAATTCTCCCAGCACCCATCATTATACTGAGCAAAGCATTTGCATATATTGCTTAACTTTAAGCAGCTTAAGTCCCAGAGAAGTCAAGTTAAGCATATTCTTCAGTGCTATGCTGAAAACAGAAGGACTTAAGTGCATGCTTTCAGGTTAATTGTTTCAGTTTTTAGCTGAATCAGGGATTTACAACCTGATCTTGCATCAGTAATCTCCAGTAATCTCCTCCTCACGGATGTTCCTAAAAGCCATGCGTTTGCCAAGAGGAGTTTACAGACCATAGTGACATGAGATATGGGAGATAGGATTTTTGCCACTGAATTAAATGATAGCAAGATTGTATGCTTTAGTGTAGTGGTTCTCAAACTTTTTGGACACCAGAGCCCTTTACATGCGTAAAAATTTATGCGGCGCCCCAGCGGTCCACTGATTGTATGTGTTGTACCTGTCGATGTTTTCAGTTTGTCAACCTCGCAGAGCCCCTGGAGATGTCTCACGGAGCCCTGGGGCTCTGCACAGCACAGTTTGAGAAACACTGATCAAGCGCATTTAAGTTCTGTGAGCCATATTAACAAATATCTGAAACTGATACAAGTTCCACACAGAGTCCTGGTAGAACTGGGCCCTTAACTAAAAACTCATTGCTATGGAAACTATACTTCAGTAATTAGGAAGAAGAGTTGTGTTTTTTTTTTAATTGAGTAGTAAAGGGATTTGGATCATACGGTGAGAGAGACTGTGTGACAGCAGTTTGTGTTGCACTGTATGTGTGAATGTAGATAATTATTGTGAATCCCGAATGCAACAAGTTGCAGTGAATAATAGTAAAAGAGGCCATTAGCCTCCGAACAAGAAACATCCTTTTAGCAAACGACCTGGGCTCCAGTAATCTCCTCCTCACGGATGTTCATAAAAGCCATGTATTTGCCAAGAGGAGTTTACAGACCATAGTGACATGAGATATGGGAGACAGGACAACTGGGAATGGATTTCAACAAAACTGGGACCAAAGACATACCTATACTGGGGTGGACCAAAACTATCATCCATAGATTTTTAAAACAAAGGTTCTTATAATACAATTCCACTGAACTTGTCTTTTCCTGAAGCCCCATTGCACAGACTATCCATTAAATTCAAAGGACATTATATATACTGTTCCAAATTCTCCATTGTTGCAACCGCATATATTTCAATATGCCAATTTACAAGAGCATAGGTGTAACTGACCCCTATTGCTGATGCCATATAAGGGCCTATTTGTCATTTAATTGGCTCTGTGATGATTCTCTGCATTTGGCTCATCATAGCGCACAGCAAGAATGGAGAACAGAGAACCAATTTTGGACAATACCCTACCACTGAGTTGTGAATGAAGCTCCTTCTGAACTGAATAGGGGCTTTGCTCATGGATTAATGATTGTGTATTATTTATGGAATTTAGATTACTTTCTTTTCATTGGTTCTATCTATTCATACCAAGATATTATACACACTGAATTTTCTCATAAACAGTGTTGATGGTGGAGGGGTGAAGAGTCAAAAAAATTCCATGCTACATACAGACTTTCATGTTAAAATAGCATAGAAGTTATTTGTACTACAGAATGTCAGAGTACAGGCAATGGGCTTAGCTGTAGTGTTACTGCCCTGAAAGAATATTCAAACAAGAGAATAAAGCAGCTCATAATTATAATTTGTTTTTTTCCTTTGCCAATAATTAGGAAGTACAATATTTCCAAAAGAAAAAAAAAACTATTCTATTTTAGAAAAGAACTAATGTTTACTGCATATTTGTCATGGTACATTTAAATTATAGTTTTAATAAAATACACCTTTAAATCAAAGATGAAAGAAGTCAGTAGTAGGCCAGTGTACTCCACTATTTTTTTGTTTTTCCACCTCTGCATGCTGGCTGGTTCATGGTGTTCAGATTTCCACAGACCATCCCGTTCTGTATTGTTTTTACCTTTCCAAAACACACAAGCAAGTGCCCCTTTATATCATACAAAAATCCTTCCATCCATACAAACGTTGGGATGTTGATCAGCTTAGCTAGTCCAGGCAGGCTTTTCTAGTTAAGTTCAGGAAAGGTAGCACAACTGATGATAGGTGAATTTTGCTTTCCTTTCCTTTTAAATGGCAGCATGAAACATGACACTTTTCTATCTTGGGCAAAGGAGAAAGCAAAAACTTTCTGATGAACTCTTTGCAGAACTCGTTGAGCAATAAGGAAGTTCTAGGGTGAGTTTTCATCCTTGCAACTCGGTCTGGGAACTGGTAGGGGAAGGTCTGTCAGGAAAGTTAGAAATGGACTTTATTTAAACCTGGTGGAAATCGTTTGAACTTCCCACCCTTGTAAACATCCACATAATGCCATGAAAAAGTTCATGTATATTGCATTTTTTTCCAGTTATCTGTCTATACAAGTTTTTACTTGGATGAGGCTCCTAGAGGTAATGCAGCTCAGACACTCCGCGGTGCCCTCTCAAATTCGTGGGTCCTCCTGTTCCTACCTTTCTTATTTTCTTGTAGGTGCTTCCACTTATTCGTGTTCACCTGGGCATTGGCGGGTTTTTGCCGACGTTGTTTGCGGTCCCTTTTCCAAACCTGTTCACAGAACTCATCCATTGTATTGAGGTTGGGGTGATTGATTAACTGCATGAAGTCTCTATACCAGACTTTCTGACTAGGGGTCATACTGTTGGAAATTTCTTTGGGCTTGGAACCATCACCATCATCTTCTTTATGAAGCAGCTCTTCCAGGTGTTCAGTATCAATTACCTCCAGAGTCACTTTGAGCAGAGTTTGCATGAAGCCATGCTCCACAGCATGACAAAAATAAATGCCGGAGTTTTTTCGCTGAAGGGTCCGTAGCAGAAGCCCCTGCTCTGTCCTGATGAAATGATCATCCACTTTTATCTGTTTTGGAGAAAAGGAAACAGTTCAACAATTATCTCTTATAAATGTTCAGTAGTATTCCCTAACCATGGGAATACTTTGGCACGTTACAGGCTAACTTGGCATAAATAAGTGAGTGTTAGGACGCTGTCATATCTTGAAAGTTTCTGTTGCCTTCAAGAGGGTTTCCAGAGTGGAATCAAAGAGACAAAACTCATCTCCTGATCTGTTACAAAGCTCAAGAGGGTTCAGAGCCAAGATATCAGTTCAGTCCGATCTTTGCCTACAAATGTCTGCATTGAGCATTGCAGAGGGAGGGCTCTGAAAGGGTGCTCTGGTCAATTTAAAGCAAGCTATGTAGAAGGAGAGCTGGTGAAGGTTTCCTGTTGAGAAGCTCTTTGAGGATTCATGTAATGGGGACAGTCTGGTGTAATGGAAGAGATGAAATATCTCGTATGGTTGGGTCAGAGAGTATGCACGGTTTTTCTGGAAAAATGGCTGTTTTTCTGGAAACATTACACTTACATCCACACTGCAATTGCATTCTTTTGACAGCAAGTCAAAAGAATGAGGAGCTTTTTCCAACAGCGGTAAACCTCTTTCTACTCTTTCTACTAGGAGAAGCCTTTTTCTGAAAGAGCTCTTTCGGAAAATGATGTGTGTGGATGGGGAAGAGGAGGGTTTTTTTGGAAAGAAGAGGCCTCCAGGAAAAAGCACAGGTACCCTGGTGGCCACTCCGTCCATAGTAATCACAACTTAAATGCGAGATAGTGTCCAGACAACATGGACGCTATCTTTCGAAAAAGCAGATCACTTTTTCGATGCACTTTTGCTGTGGGGACGCTCTCTTCCGGAAAAGCATCTTCTGAAAGAAGCCTGCAGACTAGACATGAGCGACAGAGAAAGAGGCAAGGCTCCATTTGAAAAAACAAAGATTGTTCTTGTTTAGGTGAAGGGCTGGAGTTTACGTGGATTTTTGAAAGACAGTTGAACTGAAACAATTTCAGTTAATATCTTCAAGAACCCATGGAGAACAGGTGAGATTTAAGAGGATGGGACCTACTACTGGTCAATATTTCTTTTAACGATGGGGATAGAGGAGTGGAGAGTATGATTATGTATTTTGCAAATGACACCAACTTGGGAGAGGATGCAAGCAATTTGGAGGACAGAATTTGAATTCAAAACAACTTTGAAAAGTTGGGCAATTGATCTGAAATCAGCCAGATAGAATGCTATAATGACAAGTGCAATGTTCTGCACTTAGCAAGAAAAAAAAATCCATGGACTGGTACCAGGCCACAAACTGCTGGCTGCTGGGCCACGGCACACTGCTAGACCACGCCCCCATGGCTTGATGATTGGCTCGGCAGGGTTCCCTGTTGGTTGCATGGCAGCGTGGCCGTGGAGCTGCTAATTGAGCCCAGCCCGCAGAGAACTTGCGGGCTGGGAAGGGGCACTCCCTCAGCAGTAGAAGCTCCCTGCTGTGAGTCCAGGCAAGAGTGTGCTGGTAGGGAAGGGGACTTAAGGAGGAAGGAGGGAGAGAGTAAGGATGTGGCCGGGATGGGAGGGGGCCAGATCACCCTTTCCCTCGCTGCATCAGCAGTCCCACGTTTTGTTGAGCATCTTTAAAAAAAAGACTTGGTGGCTGGCAGCCCTCCGTTCCCTGCTTCCTTCCTCTTCTCTCTCTCCAGTGGCAGTCTCATGTTTTGTTGGGCTGCTTTAATAAATTACTTTGGGTAGCTAGTGATGTGTTACAGCAAATACTGTTGGGGAGGAATAATAATAATAAATCCATTACAATGCCATGTATTGTGTGTGTACAGCTGCAATGGAAAATAACACGTGACTGCTTAAAACCAATCACCGCAATGAATATGCAACTATGCAAATACATTAATTACCATAATGAATATGAAAATGTTTCTATGCTGCTCCACCAAAAGTTTTTGAATGTGTTTGCTGGTCTCCGGTATAAAAAACATTGGGAACCACTGCCTTAAGGGCTATTATAAAGTGGCTGGTGTTCAATTGCTCTCAATGTCCTCTGAAGGTACTGCAAGAAGTAATCAGCTTAAATTGCAGCAGGGGAGATTCCGGTTAGATATCTTCCCCCAAAACAAAACAAAACAAAACAAAACAAAACAAAACAAAACAAAACACCTCTTTCTAACTATAAGGATAGCTAAGTACTGGTATAAGCTTTTAGTGGAAATTGTGGAGTCCCTATCACCAGAGATCTTTTAAGAGCCAGTCAGCCACTTGTCAGGGTTGGTCTCAGTATACTTGATCCTGCCTCTGTGAAGGCAGCTGGCCTGGATGATCGCTTAAGATTCCTTCCAGTGCTATATTTTGATGCTTCTATATTGCATGTTATGATGGTGTATGATTGAAATATGACCATTTATATAATTAATATTGCTACGGTTAGACAACTGCAACAAATCTTCCACAAGGTATGCCATGTAAAGTATAAATGGAAAAGTTACAATCTATCACATATAATCATCCTGTTCAAATCCATGAAGCATCACTGTATCTGAAGTTATGAATATTTACTATATCCCTCTATTTCAAATATCCTGCAAGGAGGTTTACAGGATCTGTGGAAAAAGGCTTTCTTTCTCGACAGATCCTGCTCTAGACTGCTGCTTTTTGCTCACAAAGTGCTGAGTCAGCAAAATGTGGCGGCCATTTTTATGCAAATTAGGCATGGGATATTTAAATCCCTGCCTCATTTGCAATGTCGACCTGCCTAATCTGCATCCCTCTGCTAACAGAGGGATGCAGTCTAGACATACCCTTAGATATTAGATAATAGAGGACTGGCAATTGCATGATTATTGGCCTGGCTATATGACTGATCTATATTGTGATGACATTGGTTTTCAGAAATCACTCATCAATCATACAAACCAGTGTCTGGGTGGTAACTTATTGTTAACCAGCACAGTGAGAAAGAAGATTACCTCTGTTACTGGCTTCATCTATCTTATGATAGAATAATCATGAGTTTGGGGATGAGTCTGCCTTATTTCTAAGCAGTTTGTCCTGAATCTGGTATTCTTAGCTGTGACACACTGGGGAACATGTATTTGAATTCATTCTACCATACCTCTTCTTTTCGGTCCTCATTTTGCTTCTGGAATTGCCAGTAAACTAGAGCACGTTGAGATTTTGGACTGCACTCCAAGAAAGTGCTGCTGTTCTCTACTCCGTAGATAATCTTTTCTTCAAGGCTCTGCCCACTTGGGTTATCTGTAAGGCAAGAAAAGAAGGAATAAAAGCCAATGCTAATGAAAATTATCAGAAAAGAAAATCCTAGTTGTCATATTTATTTACTCTTTTGGTAAATAGTTTCATTGCTCCATCCTGGAAAGATATTCCAGACTAGTTTTATTGGCATACGCCACAACAATTAACCTGATTCTCCACAGCTAAGCACCTTTTCAAAATATATTTAGACTCATGTCTAGAATGAGAAAGTTTGTGTTTTCTATGGTGTATAAGGGTGCCAACATTTTGTGCCCACTTTGCCTGGTGTAAATGACTAAGAATGTTCCCCAAACAGTGGAAAATCAGACGGAATTAGTACTGGCAGCAAAACTTACAACAAATCGCACTCCCACTCTAAAAATCAGGTCTCCTTATGGTGTCTCAAATGTGCACCCTAAAATGGAGACACCTAAAACAATAGTATTGACCAAAGTTCCTATCTTCTCAAATATTACTGTGCTTTTTTTTAAGAACCAAATGTAAAAACCTAAACTTCTGAAGTTAAGAAATTTCACTGTGAATAGTTTGCGCAACCCTGTTAGCTTTCAAGAAATCAACATCTAGGGCACAACAAACACTTTTTATGGTCAAACTTATGCCATGAGAACTTTTGGGGGGTAGCTTCACAATGTCTGTAATGATGCCTCCTGGGCTTCATGAACACAATTCTTTGGAGCAAAGTAATAAAACATGAGACTTTTAAAAAGTACTAATAATGTGTTTAGATTATATAGCATTGCAGTTTGTTGAAGCTGTTAATGACCAGGAATAATGTTTTTGAGGAAACAATCTTCAGTTAATCATTTCCTCTTGTGATATAATTTATGGAAATGTAATGAAACTAATAAAACAGACATTATGGGAGGAGGGAAAAGAAAGAGAAAAGTTAAATAAATTACTTCCTTTAGTAACAAGAATGCTGGAAATATCACATTGCTATAGGAGTTATATAGCATTTGATTGTCCTCCAATACCACAGAGGCAGTAAAGCATCATATTTCAATGCTCCACCTTAGCTCTTTAAATTATTATGGATTTACGTGATACAATAATAATGGAGACTATATAGGGAGAAAGGGATTGTTAAGCTATTTAACACTGTTGCTCTCAGGGGGTTTCCTGTCTTTTTTGCCATTATTTGTGGTGGTTTCCATATTACCCTTTTGATCTTTAGTATAGGAAATCTTTAAAGAATCTGATATTTTTAAATCAGGGAAAAATGTATAATTAAAAACCTCTGCAGAGTAATCTTATGTCAAGGGTTGTTTGATTCCACAATATCTTTATACTCTATTGGCTTTTTTATTCGGCAAACACAGTCTTGTTTCTGAACTGCTGAGACAGAGAGAAGAACAAAAACCATGGTAGTGGCATATGTTGACAAAATAATCATATGTTTTTCCTTAATTGACATTCAGCCTTAAAAGTCCAAGAGGGATTGGAGAGAAATTGGTACCTACAAACATACAGAAAATGTATTGCTTTACTTTTTCTCTGCTGGATTGTGAGCCTTCAGATCAAGCAAATAGGATAATATGGAAATAAACTGAGTGAGGCAAATTTTTGGATTCATCAGCAATCTGTAGCATTATGTAAATGTGTTATGGGTGGGAGTGCGGGGATATCATCAGGGGAGACATGATGTGAGAAAGCAAAGAAAGGGGAAGAGCAGGAGAAGCAAAAGTTTTGAAGGCAGCCCAAAACTTCATTGTAGAGGACTGGGTAGAACCTTGGAGAAGTAGGGAAGTGACATACATGTCAAGAAAGCAGAGAAATTGGAAGTGGGTGAAGCAACCATGTTTGTATAAGTGGAAAAGATGTGATGAAATTTAGCAGAGAAAAACTTAGGCTGAATACTATGTGAAAAGACTAAGGGTGAGATCTGTTCTAGATTGCAGCAAACCTTCAGTGATGGAAGCTCAATCACTAAAGTTCATTTAAATTAGGACATAGCCCAAGAAAATGTATTAAAGACAGTAAACTTGCATTCGTGTGTTGCTGATCAAACAGGACTTTGAACTCTAATTTCTGCTGAAGGCAGAAGGGGTTGTCAGAGTTAAATAGTATTGGGATAATCTGAATAAGAAGGTGGTGAAATGATGGAGTAGTCAAGAGAGCAGGAAACAGGCCTAGAAGTGATGGAAAGATTGGAGAAAAGCAGGGAAAGAAAATTAAAGGAAGAAACATTCAGAGGAGTAGTTAAGAGAATCAGGAGGCTGTGTAAGTCATGAAGCTGGCTGTGATATTCAAACCCAAATTCTGCCAGAATGACAAAATTCCCAGTTAATCGAATGACAGGATCAAATGACCATCTTGATTAATACATTACTCCTGATACAACAGAAGTGCTTAGAATGGGAAACTACGTTACACAAATGATGTGTGTCTGCATAAGCCCAAATTCCATGAGGTGCTCTAAGTGCCTGTTGATGGAACTAGTATGAAGACAACATGGAGCTTTTCTACATTTAATGGTAATTAAAAAAAAAAGAGATTAATGAATCCACTACAGTTGCTACTGGGGGACTTGTCCTTTAGCGGAAGCAGTAGAATTCATGGGTTTATGACTGCGATTCCTGGATTCTAAACTTAATATTTGATCAAATGTGAATGGTTGCCTTAAGCATTAAAGACGTCTTCTAATGAAATTTGTGGGTGTTTTGCACTTTTCAATATCTGGTTCCCTGTGCTCATGTTCTACTGTGGTACTGAAGTTAATTTCTTTACACATCCAGGTAATAGGTTTGGTACATAACCTCTCGGTATCCCACTCAGCTGGTATATTCAGCTGGTTCAGTCAGAGGATATTCAGCTGGTTTAGTCAAAGGCTTTTTGGTGAAATTTGCTCTGTACTGTCTTTGAAAAGGGGGTTACTACATGTAAGAAATCATCCTTTACTTAGGGTATATGTCTACACCACAGAGTTTTTTTGGAAAAACATCTGTTTTTCCGGAAAAAAGTTCACTTATGTCCACACTGTAATCACATTTGTTAAAAAATATCAAAAGAACTGAGAGGTTTTTCTGACATTGGCAAATCTCTTTCTGCGAGGAAGAAGCCTTTTTCCAAAAGAGCTCTTTTGGAAAAAGGCTTCTTCCTCGCAGAAAGAGATTTGCCAATGTCAGAAAAACCTCTCAGTTCTTTTGATATTTTTTAACAAATGTGATTACAGTGTGGACATAAGTGAACTTTTTTCCGGAAAAACAGATGTTTTTCCAAAAAAACTCTGTGGTGTAGACATATACCCTAAGTAAAGGATGATTTCTTACATGTAGTAACCCCCTTTTCAAAGACAGTACAGAGCAAATTTCACCAAAAAGCCTTTGACTAAACGCATATGAAAAATATTATCTCTTCATGCAGTTCTCTGGCACAAGGAGAGAGAATCAATCAGTAGTGAATGCACAGGAATGCTAAGAAGTGTGAGTGGATGGAAGGACCACCAGAGCATATAATTATAATGCAGAAGAACTTCGTTCTGCATCTAATACCCAACAGAGTGCCAGGGTCAACACCAAAAATAATATAGAACAGGGGTAGCCCATAGGTGGACTGCAGGCCATGTCTGGACAAACAGATGCTTTTGAACAGACCCCAAAATAATCAATCAATCAATCAATCATCATCATCATCTCCTCCTTCTCTTCCTTTTCCTCAACTGGAACTTGACTACGACCTGCCCAAGAAATTTGGATCCTGACCAAAAATAACTGACTACACCTTGCTTAAAGGGATTTTCCATAGAACCAAGTAGCTCAATTGTACAATATGTGATGCATATTTCTAGCTGCAAAACTGCGTGCATCTAATAACATTACCTAGTTTTAAATTACAGCAATTTTTTTAACGTGACAACTGGAGAAGAGAGAATTAAGGTGGGAAAAATTTCAATTTAGATCAAGCAACTGAAGCTATCTAGTATGTGCATTATTCTGAACCGATTGTCTTTTAGCAATAAAGCCTTATGGAACTAAAGCCAGAGGGCAATGTCAAAACATTTTAACTATTTTTCTGTATGTTTATGTTGTTTCCAATAATTTCCAACTTTATATTCTCACTGAATTTTACTTCACCCAGGATATATTGCCTTCACTGGTCTCCTGCTGAGGTATTTGAAAAAGTGTAGAAGGTACGCTTATAAAATCTGTGGAGGCTACCAAGCTGGGAGTTGTTGCAAGGAAAGCCTGGACCAGTCTGGAATTGAGTGTTGATAAATATTTTCAACTCCCCTGCCAAGGTGGCTTTCATAGCATGCTCTGTGGAGAAGTAGGGTGAAGAATGCTCTGGGAAGCACTCTATGAAAATTTAAGTTTTGGTTGCAAGTGCCTTGGATGTTAGGCTAAAAATTCTAAATTATTTGGATGAACAGTCTGAAGTAAGCAGGATGAAATTCAATATGGACAAATGGAAAGTGCTTCACCTAGGAAGACGAATCAATTGCACACATACAAAATGGGAAATGACTGCCTAGAAGAAAGCTAAATATTCATCAATAATGTAACACTTGGAAAAAAAGCAAATATCAATCTTGGATGTATTATCAGGAGTGTTTTACATCATGTGTTTTGCTTAATTCTTCCACTCTACTCTGCACTGTTACAGCCTCAACTGGAGTAGTGTTGCAGGACTAGAGAGTGCCAGCAGCAAAGATTGCCAGCAGCTCATATGGGAGCAGACTGTCGGAACTGGTGAGGCAGTGGAGCACGCAAAGCACCAGAACCCATAGCCGATGGGGCAGGGAAGTCAGTGGGGGAGCCAGATCTCATGGGGCTGTGGAGCTCATAGCCAGCAGGGCCACCAGAAGCTCGAGTGAAGCATTAAAACTGCCATGAGGCTGCTGGGAGCTCTGATGGGACTCTTGCAAGCTTGGTGGAACTGGTAGGAGCTCTGGCAAGGCTGCTTCAAGGCTGGAATGGCCACCAGGAACTCCAATGGGGCTGCTGCAGCTTGTAGGCCAGGAGACTGGGGAGAGGAGCCCTGGTAGTTGTGAAGAGGAGCCCAGCAGAGAGGCTGGGCCACCCAGCCCAAACCTCCCCTGGTCCTGAAAACTCCCTCGTCCAGGACCAGTCAGGTCCCAAGGGTGCCAGACCATGAAGGTCCAACATGTATTTCTATAGTTTATCTTTTTAATTTGTATTAAAAGTAATATAAAGTGAGCACTGTGCATACTGTATTCTGTGTTGTAATGGAAAACATCCACAATTATTTAAACAAATGGTATTCTATTATTGTTTAACATGCAATTAAAACTGCAATTAACCATGATTTTTTCAATCTTAAAATTAATTGTGATTATTTTTTAATAATTTGACAGCCCTAAAAATAAGCAATGTTACTGTAGTGTAATCTGCCATGTGAGCATGGATTAGTTGCTGTTTTGATAAGTAGTTGAAGAGACATGGATGGGATCCAGGTATTGCCAAGTTCAGGTAGCTGCACTTCATTTATCTCTCAAGTCTATTAATTGGTTTAACCAACACTAGTATCACTTATGTCACCGAACCAACAGTGGTCAATTTTCCCCAGCAGAGGGAACTGTCGTCAAAGTGTTCTTTTTCATGTAGAGCAAAAAGTAAAGTCCTCATTGTTTGAATAAAGATGCTGTGAAGTGTGGGGCAGAAAATGGGGCACCTGGAGGAAGACGTTACAAAAACAAAGATCTGATGAACTAACTATTTGAAAATACATTCAGCTAGGCAGGGTTACCACTTAAGATCTCAAACAAGATATAGATTTGCAGGGTGAAATCTAAAAACATTACTGAATGTTTCTCAAAATATCCAGGAGCTTCAGGGGATAGCTGAATTAGTCTGTTACAGAAAAAAACAACAATTGGTCTGGTAGCATTTTATAGACTAACAAAACATGGAGATGGTATCATGAGCTTTTGAGGGCACAGCCTACTTCTTCAGATGACTGGAGTTATGAGTAGGGGATATGAAAACTCGAAATAAATAGGAGAGGGGAAGGAGAGGGAGGAGAAAAAGAAAAAAAGAAAAAAGGAAGGGGGGTGTGAGACAGAGCATCATTAAGTATCTGGAGAATGGGTACTTAAGGCCAAGTAGATCAAAGTAAATAGCCAGATGCTAAGACAGGAAGGATACCACTCACAGAGCTGTTAGCACCTTCAGTGGTTATGAAGTAGGTAGTGTCCTAGCCAGCCCATATCACGATTGAGTCCATTAGCATGTGAATTGAATTTCACATGGAGATGAGCCATAAAATTGACTTGCTAGGTGAGTTTGGGGCTTTTCTGCACCTCTCCCCTTCCACTATATTCTAATATCCCTGGTGGTGGGGCTGGGGCCTTTGCTCTTAGGACGGAGCCAGTCCAGCCCTGTCCTACACAGTTACAAACTGAAGGTGGCAGATTCAAGATGCGCAGTGGGGACTACACAGGCTATACAATGAAAAAGTTCTAGAAGTGGCAACACATTTCTCCAAGCCACTAGGGTTCTTTCCCCAGCTCCAACACTCATGGCATTCTCCACCCCCAACCCTGAGCCAGAGCTCCTCTGCATCTCATCCCCAATGGCAGCATGCAGAGAGCCCTGGAGAGGCAGCATCACCCCCCGGTCTGGCAGGGATGAATCTACACTGCACTGTTATTTCGAGATAACTAGCATTATTTTGAAATAACAATGCGAGCATCTACACAGCCATTCTGTTATTTGAAATAATTTCAAAATATCAGATGGCTTATTCCAAAATCTGTAAATCTCATTCTATGAGGAATAACACCTATTTCAAAATAGCTATTTCAAAATAAGGTGTGTGTAGATGCTCCACTGCTGCTATTTCAAAATAGTCCCTCATCAGGCTATTCTAAGTTATTCCTCCCCAGTGTCCCCTGGGGCTCTAAATAGAGATGGCACATCCACATGAGGGAAGCCTGCCTCTGACTAATTTTGAGGCTTCCCTGCAGTATAGATGTGCTATTTCGAAATAAGCTATTTTGGAATAACTATTCCGGAATAGCTTATTTCAAAATAAGCATGCAGTGTAGACGTACCCAG